GATTTTTGACTTTTTGTACTGCACCTACGTGCGCACATTTTTAATTTGCTTTTTGTTGTAACCTTGAAGTAAAATTCTGCTTTTCTACTTTCGAAGGGGACACAGCAATTATCATTTCCAATCTGATTGCGACTCCACACCCTACCACACCCTATACAAAGATCAAGGAACGTCTAATAGGCGCGTTCGCTTTCTCGATGGAGGCTAGGCTCAAGCGACTCCTGAAAAATCAAATCCTTGTGGATGGAAGACCGTCGATAGCTGCACGTTCAAGGGACCCTCCTCAAGATAGGAAAACTAACAGGACCGGTTGTTTCGGAAACAACCTAACCGTGTCCTTCCTTAAAACGTCTCTACGTACGTGATCGTCGCTCTGGCCTTGTGTTTCTTATCGATACCGGGGTGGATATGTTCACCGTTCCCATTCCAACAGGTACTTATCGTTGTCCTTCTACGCTCCGTCTATTCGCGGCCAATGGCTCGACCATCAAAATATTTGGTTCCACCCTGTACAGCGTTGACATTGGATTTCCCCAGCCTTTCAAGTAGAACTTTCTAATTTTAGTGGTACCCTACCTTATTATAGGAGCCAATTTTCTAGAAGCTCACGGATTGAGGATTGATCTGCAATGGCATAGTCTGGTCGAAACTTCTTCAGGCCTTGTGGTCCCTGGTTTCAATAAGACTATTAATAGCATCTCTGTTTATCTCGTTTCCCCTCATAGCCACTATTCACACATTCTAGCCAAATTTCCTAGCGTCGAGGATATCGCTCAGCCACACCCTCTGGAATCGTGCAATGTGCTCTACCAAACTTTTACTAATAGACCTCCAGTAGCACAGCTTGATTGCAGGGTCACTGGCGCTAAATTAGATGCAGCAAAACTGGAATTTCAACGCTTGGTGGATTCTGGAGTCTGCGCCCCTTCCAGTAGCCCGTGGGCCAGCCCCCTTCATTTGACTAAGAAAAAGGATGGCAACTGGCGTGTTTGTGGTACTTATTGTCGCTTAAACCAAGTTACGGTTCCAGACAAGTACGCTGTGTCTTATATTCACGACTTTTTTACGTCGTCTTCAGAAAAAAGATCTTCTCGGCCCTAGACCTTTTTCGTGCGTATCACCAAATTTCGGTAGCTCCAGATGATGTTCCCAAGACAGCGGTCATAACTCCATTCGGTCTGTTTGAGTACAAAGCCATGACTTTCAGCCTTCGCAACGCGAGCCAAACGTTTCAGAGGTATATCAATCAGGCTCTAAGAGATCTCAATTTCGTCTTTGTATGTATTAACGATATACTCCTTCAAAGAGGAGCATGAAAGACATCTTGGCATAGTTCTGGACAGGCTCAATCGTTTTCATCTTCGTCTCAATCTCCAAAAGTGCCACTGGGGTCTCCGCGAAGTTGTCTCTCTCAGTTACCTCATTAATAACCAAGGAGTCAGGCCCTTACCCAAGCGCGTAGAAGCCATTCGTAATTTTCCGAAACCACTTACAGCAGAAGAGCTCAAAAGATTCCTTGGTTTAATCAACTATTACCACCACTTTATCTCTAAAGCTGCCGTGGTTTAGGCCCCTCTAAACGCTTTGGTTGCCAATGTCAAGAAGCAGAACAAACGGCCGCTGTTATGGTCTCCCTCAGTGGAGCAGGCTTTCCTCGATTCCAAAGAGGCGATTGCGAACGCAGCTCTTCTTGTTCTGTAGCGGTCCGCTAGCTCAGCAGAGATTCGCTTGATGACAGACGCTTCAGACGTCGCCATAGGTGCAGTGATCGAACAGTTTGTCAACAAGCTTTGGCAGCCGTTAGCGTTTTTCTCCAGGAAATTTTCCTTATCGCAGCGTAACTACTGCACGTATGATAGGGAACTAACTGCGATTTTCAAGGCTGTTCCTTACTTCCACCACTTTCAGGAGGGCACCGACTTTACTGTTTACATAAGCCACCTATATATGCTTTTCTACAGAAGTTCAAAAAAGCGTCTCCCCTGCGCATCAGGCAGCTGGTTTTTATCTCTCAATTCACCACCAAAATCAAGTATACTCTTGCCACAAATAACACGGTGGCAAATTCTCTCTTCCGCATCGAGACGCTCCCTCAACATACAGAAAATCGCTCCTAACATCCCAAGGGAACCTGAACATCGACACTTTTCGCTTGCCCAGTCAGTTTTCTGTAACTGAGCTTTCCGCAGCGCATTCTAACGACCCAGAGTTGTTAGACATCCTCAAGTCCAAGAACTGTTCTAAAAAACTTACCGGGGGTCCGGATCACACACCGATCTTCTGTGACATCGTCGATACGACCCTTCGGCCTTATGTACCTGCTCCACTGCAAGACCAAATCATCAAGCTCTATCATCTTCCTTCTAACCCTAGTGCTAAGGTCATTGATCGTCTTGTTCGTCAAAGATTTATCTGGCCTCGTTTGAACCACGAAATAGCTCGTTTCTGTAAACATTGCATTGATTGTCAAAAATCCAAAATCGCTCATCATGTCAAACTGACCCCAGCTTCGTCGGTCCAGACGGTCGTCTTGTCCACGTTCACATCGACATCGTAGGTCCCTTGCCAGTCAGCTAAGGCTTTCAACACCTCGTCACGATGATAGATCGTTTTTCTCGTTAGCCCGAAGCTGTTCCCATTAACCACATTTTGGCTAGTTCTGTCACCAGAGTCTTCTTCAACACTTGGATCAGCCGTTCCGGAGCTCCTGAGTTCCTCACCTCGGATCGTGATTCCCAGTTCAAGTAGCAGCTTTTTCAGGCTCTTCTGTCAATGGTAGGCTGCGAGCGAATTCGTACTACTGCCTGCCACTCAGCAACCGACGGGCTTGTGGAACGCTGGCACCACGACCTGAAGGCCAGCTTATCTGCCATTAGGACAAGTGGACTCGTTCTCTTTCCTCAGTTCTTCTTAGCCTCAGAACTCGCATCAGACCTGAGGTCGAGGCGAGCCCAGCTGATTTTTTATACGGCACCTCCTTGCGTGTTTCGGGAGAGTTCTTCCTTTTCAGTGACTTCCAGCCTAACCCGCAGTTCTTCCTTGAGGAATTCAGAGAGTTAATAAAAAAGGTCAGACCCATTCAGTTTCCTCTTAAGTACAAGAAATATACGCCTTTTCGTGTATAAAGATCTTTCCTCTTGCTCACACGTCTTCAAGCTAGCTAAAGCGTCCAAAAAGTCCCTAGAGAAACCCTGTTCGGAGCCGTACAAGGTAGTCAGAAGGGTGTTGGACCACGTTTTCAAAATCGACATCAATGGCACCCCCAAAACAGTTTTCATACAACTTCTTAAGCCCGCGTATCTGCTCACTAACGAGTTAGGCACCAATAATACCCCTATGCCTTCGGACAAGCACGATCATCCCTCAACATTGAAACCACGAAACGCTCTCCAGACTTATTCAAACAAAAGTAAAAGAGTGAGTTTCAACCTACCGGCCTAGTCCAAAGATTAACTCTCTCTCTCTTTCTCTCGTTCTTTCCATGGATCTAGTTTTTTCATTTTAAGTTTTGCGTTTAGGAAAATGCGTTTTTCTTAATTGGTTATAAGAAATTTTTTTGTTAAACACTTTTCGTACGTGTTCCCAATTCTTTTGTAAAATAGCTAATGTAGCAACCTTTTGTTTGCCCGTACTGTACCTTCTGGTCAGTAGTACTAACAGTAATCTTTCTGTTGAGTACTCTTAGGCAATTTTCTTTAGGTAATCAGTAAACCACACTCGTAAAAATTTATTTTGTCAAAAAATCAAATCTCTAATTAGCAATTAAAAATCAAACTGTTACTTTGCTTTTTCTCATAACGAAGGGAGTACTGTAGGTACTCTGTCGTACCGACGTTAGCAGAGCCGTCACTGCGCGAGTCGTTCCAGTCAGTCTCAATATACTCGTTGAGCCAAGCACTCACTTGTGTACTAACGTGCTTTAATAAACACTATCATTTCTATACTCGAGTCTGTTTTATTAGCGTCACCCTGACCCTGTTCATCCCTACAGTGGCCAGTTTGAAAACTCTCACCAGGTAGCGGGGGTTTGTTGTAACGGGCCACTGTGTTGCAATAACTACTGACACCCTCTGTTAGACAAGGATGTACATCTGATTTTACTGGATTTTGGAAATTTTTTCCTAAAAACGAAACGTACGATTCATATTAACAGAAAAAATATGTTGGTACGTAATCTATCGATAGAAAGATTTTAAAAGAAAGTTCATACAAGTCGATTTTTAAGGCAAAGCACTTCAAGGTGGCTCGTTACACCTGCACTACCTCTTTATGCGACATCAAACTATCACACCAAAAAACATTGGGTGATAAAGGTACCACAGTTTACGTAACCTGTATCTTTTCATAAACAGTCAGCTGATCGAATAAAAATTACGCAATACTGCCTGGAAAACTTACATTTTTTTCTATATTGAAAAGCTCATGATTTCTTTTTTCAGTACTTAGTTTTACAATGAGAGTTAAAATATAATTTGGAAGGTATCGTATCAAATGTTGTGAATGACCTCCTATAAGAGATCACGTTACACATACAATTTTTAAGTGGTTCATCTTGAGAAAATTACCTGGCAACACAATATTAAATTTCGTGAGGTAATTGAGTTAGTATTTAGATGTGATTCCTGCAAGTTTCGTACATACTTAAAGTATCTTGACTTTGCAAATAGCCACCTTCAGTAAGCTTTTATTAACGAAATAGTACGACCACTACATGTGTAAGTGTGTCAGGAAATTCCTTTTTGAATGGCCGTATAAACCAAATATTTAATACCTCAATCTAAGGTTAGATAGTAACATCTTTTGTCATTTAGTATTCAACGCAGTGTATTGCATACCTTAATATTACTTCAGACTCTACATGAAAAACTCTCTACTTTTTACAAGAAAAATTTTTGAGTTCCACCTTTAATTTATTCTTTAGCTCCGTTTATCCTAATTTTTACTTGCTATTCCATGAGCTGAATTTGACAATAATAATAGTTCAAATAATTTTAACACAGGACAATGGCGAATCTGGATGAGGTAAAAATGGTCTGGAAAATGGCGGATGCAGTTTGCTTTGATGTCGACTCTACCGTCATTCAAGAGGAAGGAATCGACGAGCTGGCTAAATTTTGTGGCAAGGGTGACCAAGTTGAGAGTCTGTAAGTTTATTGCATTGTCTATGAATCATCTACAACACATGTACACTATAAAAACACGTAATTGCGAACTGTGGAGCAGGATCAACACAGTATTGTACGTTTATAAAACTTTTCTAAAATATTTCATTAAAAAAATAAAACTGTTACATCAAAACATTTAAAAATTTAGTAAAAAGTTTCAAAGTCTTCTACTATTTAGGATTCAGTCGACAAGAAACTAATAAGTACATTTGAGAAAAAAACTGTAAAAAATTTTTACTAAAAGTCATCAAAACTCAGATTAAAAAATGAATTTTTTCGTAAAAATCAAAAAGACAGCAAAGGCATTAATTAGTATAAATATTATTTACGGCTCTACAAAACTGCAGTTTTTTTTTTAAAGTTAAGTTAATCTTATTGTTAAATCCTTTCAGTTGGTTTCAAAATTATCGTAGATCTGCTGTTCATAGATAAATCACGTTATCTAGACTTATAATATCAAGTTTATATAAAAGAATCTGAAACTTATAAGTTTTTAATGCAAAACATAATAATAAGAAATGTACCATTTTTTAGTAGAGAGTTTTGTTATTTCTTAGTCCTGGAAGTAATATTTAGATCATCATAAAAAAAAGAAACGTTTTTTATTATTTATTTTCATTAAAACATAAAGCAATAGAAATATATCCATTTAAAAAGTAATTGCAATTGCAATCTAGAAAAAAGGTTATCAAACTCTGGCATCAAAAAAATTAAAAACGTAGAATCAGCCATCGAGAAATAAGATAGTGTTTAACTGATTATTGTACCCTGTGTGATAGATACCTCTGTCTGCATTGCAGACAGTTGGTATACAATTGTGGCGGGTGCCATTTTAAAATTTAAGCGTTGGATTTTATTGTCATAGATACATATGCTTCTTCACCTTAGACCGAGCCCGAAGTAATTGCATATTTTGGTTTTGCAGCTTTACTCTCGCAACGGTACTGAACTATTTTAAAAATGTCATCAGGACTCACTATCTTTTTTAATAAATAATACAGAAATCATCTTACATCTGCTAGTACTAATAACGTCTTTATTAGAGTCTTTCAGGTAAGAAATAAAAAAACATACATTTATTGTATACAATCCAATTTTTAGCTTATGATTGTGATAATTGTATTCCTTGGCTAATTATATTTACATGCATGATACAGTATTAGATTGTGTTATATGTAAAAAAGCTATGCACATGTACCAAAAGAAAACCGTTGGCTATGATTAGTATAGCAGCTGTTTAGCTTCCACTCTTCATTAAAGAGTAAATCGTTTGATCGTTAAACATTTTTTGACTCAAGAATAGCACCAAATCTAAATTTTGACCCACAAATATTATTATATTTTATGTGCAAACTTTTAAAAAAAAAGTTGATACGATTGTATGTAATGTAAAAAAAGTTTTTTGCAGGAATTTTAGGGAGATACTATAAAAAAGTACCACTATGGTGTATCAAAGTATAAAAATTTTAAGTAAATCATGATTTGCTTAAAAAGATATTTTTGTCAATATTTATCATCTTACAAATTTGCATGCTGGGTAGTTTTTCATAAATTTTTCAGTAGACATAAAATAAGGAGAACAACCACCAAAATTTTTTCGTATACAGTACAATCATAAAAAATAATTTACTCCACGTAGTCATAAAATGTAAATTTTTTTTAAGTTCCAAGGAAAACGTTGGTTGGATTAGAACGTAATACAAAAAAAAAAAAAAAAAAAAAAAAAAAAAAAAAAAAAAAAAAAAAAANACAATAACTCTATCTTTTATCCTATTACTCATTTTTCTGTAAGTTGGATGTTGTACAGCCAAAAAAAATTTCACATAAGTATACTCTTCTCTTTCTTAATTTTTTTTCTTCGCCTTTATTTTGCGCGTGCATCCGAAGGTCATAACGAGAATAAGTTTTTTTTTTTTTTTCTTTTTTTTTGTAGAGAGAGGATACATACCTTTATGCACACCACAGGATCAATGGTAGTGTGGGACTCACCAAATTTTTTTTATTAGACCACTGATACCCACTAAACCCCCATCCATACCACGTGGCCTTAGTTCTACCTCGAAATCGCGTTAACATTTAGGGTGGAGCCACCAGGGAGATAACTTTATGTTACAAGATTAGCAATCTCAGTCGCTAGAGGTGAAAAGGACTTAAGGTCTTTGAGGACCAGCACACGTTTTCTAGCGCTTCTTTGTAGGCTGCATTTTTCCACCCAAGCAACACGTCGGAAATTGCTCATCATTAGACGCTGGGTGGTAAGGCTCCTGGTCTGGACGGGATACCATCCAAAGTCCTGAAGGTCGTATCCGCGGAGGAATCACACAACTTGCTGGACATATTTGATTCATGCATGCACGTTGGGCTGTTCCGTGAGCACTGGAAGATCTAAAGGCTCGTCCTTTTGGTCAAGGGTAAACGATCTATCCTGGTTCCTTCGTCATTTTGACCGTTAGGCAGGTTGGACAATCCTAGAAAATGCTTGAGAGCCTGATACGAATCCAGAAGAGAGATCCGTTTCTCGGACAGCCAGTACGGGTTTAGAAGAGGATGTTCGACGGCCATAGTTGTAGCCAAGGTTCTTGAGTCAGTTAGCAAAACATGGAAACCCTTACATAAGACGAGAAGCGTGTGCGTTCTGGTGATTCTTAACGTTAAAAATACCTTTAACTCGTCTAAATGGTCCGACATGATAAGGGCTTCAAAGTGACAGAATGTACCAGACTATCTTAGAAATATACTGGACAGCTGTCTCTAGGATCGAGGACTCTGGTACGACATGAAAAACGGACCAAGAGAGAGGCGTCTGACGTTGGGGGTCGATCAGGGTTAAAGGGGTACTTTCACCTGAACGTTGAAGGTCAGGTAATCTGTGCAAGTCTAGTAATGCGATTCCAGCAAGTTGTGTGATTCCTTCACGGCTACGACCTTGAGGACTTTGGATGGTATCCCGTCCAGACCGGGAGCCTTACCACCCAGCGTCTCCGCAATCATCGACCTCAATTCATCAAGGGTAAAGAGAGGCACTTGGCCTACGGTTATGTCTTCTCACTTTCTATTAGGATGCTTCAGACACAGGCAAGAGACCACTTTCTCTTAGAAGGAAGGCTCCATCGGCGCCACTGGATATGAGCCGTGCATTCTTTTTAGCACGATCTGGTAGCTGAGGCCCCACGTGTTTTTATCCACCTCAGAGATAAATTCATGCCAGCATCGGTTATTGCTCACCTTAATCACCCACACCAAGGCCTTCTTTGTTTCCCTGTACGTGGCAACAGCCACCTCCGTATTTTCACAACATCTGTATCACTGTGCAAAATGGCGTAGGCACTGTACTTTTCTACACGCCATCTGCGCTGAGCATCTCCCGCAGACGCTTGAAGTGCACGATGTGTCAGCATCTCGTAGTTTTGGCAATATGGCTGATGTCCAGCCTTGGCACCACGCTCTCGCACTGGTAACAGCTCACTTTTTTGGAGCAGTCACGTGCCACGTAGCCCTTTGCACTACACTTCCAGCATGCCCCTGTCCTGTGAGATCCTTTTAGAATAAGTATACTTGCTCACATTAAGTGTGTGATACATTGAATGTGATTTTGATAAATATTTCAATATTTGATGAGTAATCAACTGTAAATAATACAGTGTGTCAATAAGAAAAGTTTAAATTAAACCCATAGCTCAATGTGCAACCAAACTGGCCAGTATAAGACTGTGCGCTTTCATCGAATCTTCCAATGATTTTAAAACAATGTCCTACCTCCACGTTAATTACATCTCACACGTCACGTTCACATAAGTCACATATTCCCACATACTTATTCCTAGTTCATATAAAATACCCAAAATATATTTATATCTTATCGGCTAAGAAAAATTATTCTGAAGTACCACTTAAACTTCATTGTAATATTATTACCTGACAGTAAATGACACTTCAGGACATTCATCACACAAAGATTTTATGATAGATTTTATTCGAACGTCAAACGTGCGGAAAAACGTAAGAAATACCTTCAAATTATTTTAAATCGTTTGACTGTACCCTTTTTTTGTATGGTTGATTTAAAAGAATCTCAATTGAACACATAGCCTCATGGAAAAATCACCTAAAATTTTATTTAAATGATCCGTATGAATGTCTCAATTTTTTTTAATGATGTTATTCTTTTAGATTAACTTCTTGAATTTTGAAAGATACAAAAAAAAAGGAGGGGTTAGGTATTTGTAAAAGCATGTATGCATATATATATATGTATGTATAAATGGGGCATTCCACGTGAACGGAGACAAAAAAAAATTTTTTTTTCTCCAAACTTTGGGAATTAATAGTACTCCATTAGAGAAAAATACTGGAATTTTTCAGATTTTTTGGCCAACAACCTTGCCGTCAGCGATAATCATAATTTTGGAATTTTTTCTTTGAAGGCAAAATTCTCAATTTTGTAGACCAATCGATGCGTATTAAAAAAAAAATAAAAATAGCAATTTGATAGCATTTTTTCCGTAGAACACGATAAAAATATTTTTTTAAATTTTGAGGTTAGTTTTATCCCTCATTTTTGGGTTTTAAATTTTAAAATCGATTCTTCGAAAAGTATGACCCCTTTTTTCAATTTTTTTTTTTTTTTTTTGTTTTTNCGTTTGAATAATTTTTGTCATATGATGGAAGCAATTAAAATGTAAGTGCTAGAGGGCGCTAAGTGATAAAAAACACAGTTTTTACGTTATATCTCGTTCCATATGATAAAAAAATATGTGAAAAAAATGTATTTTAATATAAGTAAAGGCGCCGCATACGATCTTAGTGTCAAATTTAATGAATTTAAAATGGCAGATCCAATATGGAGGCCAACATTTTTAAAATTAATGAATTTTGAAAACTAAAAAGTGTCATTGTAATATACGTAAAATTTTAAGTCAAAAATGTTTTTTACAAAATTTTCCTAAATTGCGTTATTTTCGTGAAAACTAACAGTTAAG